TGAATTGACAAAAAATTCTCCTGGCATTCTGAGTGACGTGCCATACACTAGGTATGCTGGAGAAACATTCTCATCCTTCAAGGTACATCTTAATCCGAAAAGTACAGTAGGTAGTACTGATGTCCAGTCTGATGTAGCATGAGCTCTTATAGACTGTTTGAGTGTTTTGTGGAACCGTTCAACCTTGCCATTTGTCTGTGGGTGATAGGGTGTAGTACGTGCTCGGTTAATTCCTAATATGTTGGTAAATGCAGTAAAAAGGTTACTCTCAAATTGACGGCCTTGATCTGTAATAATTTTCTCTGGTATACCAAATCTTGCGATCCACCCGTTGAAGAATGCTTCAGCAACTGTGTCTGCTTTCATGTCAGGTATAGGAAACACTTCGGGCCATGAAGTGTACCTGTCAATGCACGTTAAACAATACACGTTACCTTTGCTAGGTGGTAATGGACCAATTAAATCAATATGAACTTGTTGAAATCTGGTGTGTGGTAGCTCAAAATGCTGTAGAGGACTTTTTGTATGTCTTACAACTTTAGCGCGTTGGCATTGGATGCATTGCTTTGTCCACAGTGCGCAATCTTTCTTCACCCCAGGCCAAACGAATCGTTGTGTTACTAATTTGATTGTTCCTCGTTGACCCGGATGGGCTAATTCATGTATAATTTTGAAAATTGCAAGTCTGAAGTTCTTTGGTACGTATGGACGTATTAACTCTGTTGACGTGTCACAGTACACATAAGCTGTCTTGGAACCATATTGCAATTTTTTTAGTTGTAAGCTTGTACTTGCATTTGGTTCTAAAAGGTGTTTGAGTTCTTCATCAGTTTCTTGTTGTCGTTGTAATTTATCATAGTCGATTGAATCTGGAAATCCGATTTCTTCTATCCTCGATAAGAAGTCTGCAGGTATATTGAATTTACCCGACACATGTTGGATGTCTGTGGTAAATTGACTAATGAAATTCAATTGTCGAATTTGTCTTGGTAATGCTTTATCAGATTTTTGTTGATAAGCATAGATCAATGGTTTATGGTCAGTAAAAACGGTAAAATGTCGTCCTTCGACCCAATGCCGAAAGTATTTTATTGCTGAGTACATTGCAAGTAATTCTCTATCATATGTACTGTATTGTTTTTGTGTTTCAGTTAAGCGCTTAGAATAGTAGGCCAAAGGTTTCCAAATGTCCTTACCATTGCTGTCAATTTCTTTTTGTTCGAGCACAGCGCCCATAGCAAAGTTGGAAGCGTCTACTGAAACTGCTATTGTGGCATCGTTAACTGGATGTGTAAGCAATGAAGCGTTTTCCAGGTCAAGTTTACACTGGTTGAATGCTTCTATTGAAATTTCATTCCATCTGATGATGTCAGATCTCTTTGCTTGTTTTATGCAGTCGTTTAAAGTTGCTTGGTGCTCTGCTGCTTTAGGTATGAATCGACGATAGTAATTAATGACACCCAAAAATCTTCTGAGATCCTTGGCTGTTTTTGGCTTTTTATACTGTTGAATAGCTGCAACTTTTTCGTTGTTTGGTGCTATTCCGTTTGCTGATATGTCATATCCTAGAAATCGTACAACTTGTTTATTAAAATTGCTCTTTTCTAAGTTGATGTTCAAACCATATTGTTGGAGACGTTTGAACACCGTACGAAGATGGTCATGATGTTGTAGTTCATTATTTGATGCTATTAGTATGTCATCGATATAAGCGAAACAGAAATCTAAGTCACTGAATATTTCATTGATAAAACGTTGAAACGTTTGTGCTGCATTTTTTAATCCAAATCCCATTCTCATAAATTCAAACAATCCAAACGGTGTGATTATAGCTGTCTTTTCAATGTCATCTGGATGCATTGGAATCTGGTGATATGCTCTGGTTAGGTCGAGCGTGGAAAATACAGTCTTATTGGTAAGCAAAAAAACAAAATCATGTATGTGTGGTATGGGATACCTGTCTGCTACTGTTACCCCGTTCAATTTTCGGTAGTCACCACAAGGTCTCCATTCTTGGTTTTTTTTCTTTACAAGTTGCAATGGTGAGGCCCATGGACTCTTTGAAGGTCTGCAGATTCCTAATTTAACCATGTTTTGAAACTCTTTTTTTGCTATTATCAGTTTCTCTGGTGATAATCTTCTTGGACGTTCATGAATGGGAGAACTCAGTGTTGTGATTCTATGACAAGTGTTATGTTGAATTGTGGACATACATTCTTGCGGCGCTGTTACTTGAGGGAACTCCTGTAATATGTCTGCATACATGTGGTTACTATCATATGTTTTAATAGAATAAACACTACTATGCGATACAATTCCTGCTACAGATAGATGTGTTAAGTTATCAACTAACTTACCATTATGTATATCAACTAATAAATTGAATTTATATAGGAAATCAGCTCCTATGATTGCCCCAGCAGTGTTGGCTAAAATGAATGTCCAAGTAAATGTACGTCTTAAATTTACATTTACAGTTATGGTTCGTTGCCCAAATGTATCAATAACTGTACCGTTGGCCGCATACAATTTCAACTTGCTCGCTGCTGTTCTGTTAGCTCTGTTGCTGTAAGGGATAATTGATACATCAGAACCAGTATCTATTAAAAATTTAATACCTGTAATTTTATCTACAATGAAAAGTCTTTTGTTGTAGTTAGTGGTGTTGAGTGTTGCTGTACTGTTTGTTGTTGCTGCCGTGGTTATGATTGATTGGCAGCTTGTGTTGTCGGAATCCAGCGCCGCCAACTTGGATTCAATTATTGGTTTTCCGATTGATTGTACTTGCAAGGTTCGACGCATTTCTTCGCCTTCTTGCCAAAGTTGTCATGGTAAAAACAATAATTATTCTCGCTCATCTTCCACTTACTATACCTTGTGCGTGAGGACGAACGTGGACGTTGTTTTGCGCGATTATTGCTTTCCGACCGTGAACGGTTATCATTACGGGTACTCACCAATTTTAGCTCATTAACTTCCTTGATTAATGTTTTCAGAATTTCGCTAGTGGAATCAGATATTGCGTTATTTACCACACGTTGCTGGTCGATTTCAGATATCTTATCCGCTAATTTTGCCAGTTCTTCGATGGTACCTGAGCTCATTGCCAAGCACGACTGCGTTGCTATTGGTAACTGCTGTAACCATAACGTCTTTAGTAACTGTGCACTGCATGAGGTACCACCTAGCCGTTGCATCTCATTCAAGAGCATGGATGGCTTTTTGTCACCAAGTTGCATATCGCCTAGTAGTTTACGTAATTTTGACTCTTGACTGTCTGTGTATAGTTCGACGAGTCGGTTTTTAAGCTTACTATATTTTTCACTGTCTGGCGGGTTTTGTACTATATCTGCTACTTGTGATAGTATTTCCGTGTCGACGGCACAAATAATATGGTTATATTTGGTAGTGTCATTACTGATTCCGGCTAAATCAAACTGAGCTTCGACTTGTGCGAACCAAATCATCGGATCGCCTTTCCAAAATGGCGGTACTCGAACTGCGACGCGGTTAACACACGTGCTTTGTAGTGCAGCGTTGTTTTCCGGCCCTTGTAATTTATTTGCATCGTCATTCATCTTGTCAAGTGACGATGTTCGCTGCGGTTCAGTTCTTTTTGTCGAGGTCACCAATATAGGTACTGGTTCATAGACGTGAGACGTTTATTAATAAGAATAATATTTTATTTTAAATGATCTTCAACAACATAACTGTCATAACTAGAAGCGACTGAAAACTAACGACTAGAACAAACATTAACAATTACATTTTACAATTTTGGTTAACAATCAGTGTTGCCATCACTACAAACAGTATTCTTATCAGCTAAGTGACATCTTTTCGTGGCCGTCCCCCGATCCCCGCCGACCATGTCGTTTCCAGTCCATTATATCTTAGTCCGTGGTTTATTACAACCGATTGATCTTTCTGTACCATTATCATTAATTAATTAATATGATATAATATTTTAATCAATTCTATTATCTTATAAGACCGTGGTCATAGATAATGATAAAGGTATCGCCAAATATCGGTAATAGACAATAGTAATAACTAATAAGATTATTATTGTTCTATGGTAATATGGAGGGGATCTGGTGCGACAGCCAATGTCAACAAAACGTAGCATTGGTCAAATTAGCATATAGGTGTAATGTACATTCAATTAATCAGGTTCAAAGTACAACAATTATCAATATGTTTAATGTTAGGTACCGTAGGTAGTTAGGTCGAACGGTATCGAATTTATCAGTTATAGCTTCTGGGCTTTACAAATGAAAATTTTCCAGCGGTACCGACTTTCAACCACCAATACTTTGAGGAGCTGTATCTCGCAAACCAATCAACAAATAATAAAAATGTTAACGCGTAAATTCATAAAAAAAAAATGGTTTTATTAATTCATGATCTTTTTATTATATGTTACCATTTGAAAATCAAAGGTTGATAGTGGTTTCACCAATAAATATAAGGGTAAAAAAAATTAAAATACTATAGAGTTTTAGAAAAGCATAAATCTAACAGTTTAAAAAAATAAAAAATAAAAAAAGTTAATACTTTTCGAGATAATTAGTGTACCCACTTAAATGGATCACCCTGTATATAATAATATATTATATTATATTATTATACTATATATTATATAATATATATGTATTATATTCTGTTTGGTATTTTATTCAAAGAATAACGATTTAAGTCATTTTGTTGCAATTTAAAAATATAATAATTGTGGGTACCTATATGAAAATGAACTGGTATTAGGGTATCTGTTTTTTATGTTTAATTTTTAAATAGAAATAGAAATAAATAGAAAACTATACTTAATTCTTATATAGTTATATCTTATATTTTATAATATGATTATATCTGAATATACAATAACGTCAATAACAATATGCAATTCAAATTTAATCTCAACTTTTATTTATTTATTCTTTATTTTTCGTGTGTAAATAAATACCCTATCTTTCTATAGTTATAACATTACATTATACAAAATGGAGTGGAATAATGAACTAACGCTTGAGTTCCTGGAAGCGTATGAAAAACATCCAGTTCTGTGGAACAGTCTTTATCCAGGACATAAGAATAAAAACACCCTGCAGGATGCATGGACTGAAGTAGCTAACGAGTTAAGTGTTACAATGCCAGTTGTTGCGTTGAAAAAGAAGAAAGAGTCACTGATGTCGACCTACCGGACATTGAGGAAGAAAATAGTGGATTCAGAGACTACTGGATCGGGGTCACAAGATGTGTACTATCCGTCTTGGTTCGCCTATAATGCAATAGATAGGTTTATTCGAGTCCAAAATACGAAGATACCCTCACTGAATTCAGAAGTAAGTTTAATAGATAATTATCTGGTATATTTCATAATATTAATTAAGAATTCATCCTTACAAATCTTTAATCTAAATTTAAATGCAAAGTTAACTAAATAAAAATAAGTATAAATCACTAATCAATATAATTCTGCCATTCTACTGCTCCACTCGTCATACAGTATTCTGCAAACTCTCGCCGAATGTCCTTTGCATCCTCGGAGGGTTTCCTAGGTTTTTTTACCAGTGGATTGAAAGATGTCATCCCTTGTATATCGTTGCGCCATGTTCCGGGAATCAATTCTCCATCCTCTTCATAATCAAAAGTACCAGTTGGGGCATAGATTTTTCTTGATGTTGCGCTTCTCCGTAGAAAATTATGAAGTAAACAGCATGTCATGCATATTAAAGCAGCTTTATCTGGTTGTAGTAACATAGGTGATCTGAACACTCGAAAAACTGATGCATAAATACCAAAAACGTTTTCCACAACTCTACGTGCACGACACAAACGATAATTGAAAATTCGTTCTAAACTACCTTTTTGATGATTTCCTCCGTAAGGTTTTAGAAGAGTATTACTCATGGGAAATGCATCGTCGCCTATAAAAACATATGGAACCTTCTTCAGTCGTCCTAATAAGGGCTCAGGTGGTGGAAGGAGAAGTTCATTACGAATTATTTCGTTATAAACACTCGTGGTAGCATACACACCCGCATCGTTCATTCTTCCTTGAGCACCAACATCAACAAATGTAAAACAATATTCTGAGTTAACAAATGCCATGAGTATAATGCTGAATGACTTCTTGTAGTTGAAGAACTCAGATTCACTGTTAAATGGAGCTTGCAATAGTACATGTTTTCCATCAACTGCTCCTACACAATGTGGAAAATTCCAATCACGTTGAAACCCATTTGCTATTGTTTTCCAATCTTCCTGTGATTTTGGCAGCTGTAAAATACAAATATTTATACTTCACATAAAATGGAACCTATTATTGAATCACTGTTTTTTTAACACATCATAATAAACCACAGCTATTATCTAATTATAGAAGTTTTTAGTTTTAGAGGGATTAAATTAACAATCTGTAACAATTATTGTACTAAATAGCATGGAATTTTTAAATTTTCAAATAAAAATGATGTGATTTTTAGGATGTTGCCGATGGAAAATTTAATGAAATAGAGGATCTCATGCAAAACGAAGGAGATTTAGATCATATTAATCTTGAAGAAGATGGTTTAGAAGCTTCTTCACTTGGAGACAATGGAATTCAAAATGAGAGGAGAGAAAACACTCAAGAAAACAGGAATATGTTCTCAGTCCCACAAAGTCCATTAATGAAGAGAAAACAAAGAAGTGTTGATAATAGCCAATTAATAAGCAAACACTTGAAACAAGCAAGTGATGTTTTGCAGGGTTTGGTTAAGAAGCCAAATTCACAGCAAAATAAAGATGGCCCTGACTTATATGCACAGCTATTAGCCGAGAAACTTCGTCAACTATCTCCCCGGAATCGTCTACTACTGGAACATAAAATTGATAACATGGTTTTTGAAGCACTAATCCAGGAAATGGATTCAAAAACACAAGGTCATTTTCCCATAACTATTAATACTGTTTCATCTCCCTGTTCATCGCTGGAAAGTTTTCTTTCTACTGGATCGACATATTCAACACATGAATTACAGTCTCCTGGAACATCCTACACACCACATCTCACTGCTAATCATGAGTACATACAACCATCCCAATCACAACAACAAAACGTAACTGGCCCACAAACACAATCAGGTACTGTCCTTGAATTTTATTCAAATTCTGAGCAATTTGTGGATGGTAACCAGACAGGAGGAAAATAATAAATAAATATGTATTTCCTGTGCACAATATTGTAATGTAAAATGCATTAAATAAATTATAAATACATAAAAACAGATTAATGTGTTAAATTTATTTATTAATATCAGAATATTAATTTAATTAGGTACTTACTTTTATTTGATCTTTTAGTGCATCAATAATAGCTAGGCAAACTTCCGGTACGATGCGGCTTATTGATTGATGTGATATCTTAAATAGGTATTCCAAGCTTACAAAGCTATCACCTGTAGCCAGAAATCGGAGAGTGACTGCCAAACGCTCTTGGATCGATATTGCCTTCCGCATGTTAGTGTCTTGTTTGCTGATTTTCGGCCCAATTTTAGTAAGAATAAATTCAAAATCTTCTGACGACATTCGACAGAAGTTTTGGAATCCACCTTCTTTCACGTCTTTTTTTTCTGTTTTTTCGCAATTAATAATTGACTACAAGATAGAACAATTACAGTAGCAGCAGCTGCAACCACGCCGTCCATTTTTTCTATTTCACTTTTCATACCGAACTGTAGAGAGTATACTGAATCCAACATTCCAACATGACACTCGATCCAACGTTGGTCACAACGTGTAGCTGCATCCGTCAGTCAAACATTGGTTCCAATGTTCAGCCAACGTTTGCACGCCAATGTTGGAGCCAACGTTTGACATATCGTGTAGCACCGGCTTTATTCTAAGTCTAAATATTATATATTACAAATTGCACACAAATTCGATTTTGCAATGTGTCCTCACAGTGCTTATTATAAGTTAAATACTATATAAATGTTATTGACAGTTATTGTATAATTGTTAATGATAGTTATATAATATGAGATGTATTAAGTTTACAATATTGTTATGTTTATTATAGATGATTTTTCATGTGTGACATATTGTCATGTGGATAGTTATATAAATAATTTAATTAGTTTTACAAATTGGTTAATTATTATTTTAATATTTTAGTTTACATAGTTGTATCGTACACCTTTTCAAGATAATTATATAATGTTAAGTATCTAGTTGATGTATAAGTGAGTAAAGTCGATACATAAAAGTAAAAAGTAGATAATGATAGATAGATAATGATATGATGCGTATTATGAGTTTATACAATTTTATGTGGCAAGATGAAATAATAACAAAGGTCAAATCTAGTTATGTTCTATGTGATGAAATAATGTATATAATGAGTTAGGGTTTTCATTAAACTATTCTTAGATTGATTCTTAATTTTAATTAAGATATACTTGGTGCGAATTAATCTATTTTGTGATTTAAATAATATTATTAATTTTACAATCTTTTAATATTTTGACAATATTGTGCTTATTACGTGTTTTTTGTTAGTATGTATTGATAATACAGTTCAAATATGTTTGATAAAAATGTTGTACAAAGTGAATAGGATTTTTCATAGGTGTGGTGTTTTAGATATTGTTGTATTTTGTATTAGATAAAAGTTAAGGATGTGTGAAATATAATGGGAAAAATATTATATATATGGATTATTGGAAGGTGTAAGGTTTTGTTAATTTTTGATTACAAAGGTTAAGGAAAGATATGTGATTTTGTGTTATTTGTTTAAATTTTTAAGTCTAAATATATATTAACGTACTGATCTATGGGTACTGTTTCAGGGATGGCGAGGAGTCCTTGAATTAGGTGTGGTTTCAGTCGTTGAGCTGAAAGTGGCTGGTGTTGTTGTGGTTGTGATCCCTGTAGTTGAGCTTGGAATGGCTGATGTTGTTATTGATAGGAAAAATTAAATATATATTTCTGTTTTCTGTTTTGGATATGAAATGTTTCTGATAAAGTTTGCGTCTTATACTCTTTTTAATGTCTTACTATTGGAATATTCAGTAGTGTAAGAACTGCGGTGTGTCTTGCTGTGGTTATTGATATAGGTCTTCATTGAATTATATTTTGTCTCCGGCCATACAGGCTATTTGTTTTTTTTTTTTTTTAGTTAGTGGTATAATAAAATTAATGTCTTGTTGTCACCGTCTTATTGGAATATATTGATTTTTTGTAGTGTCGGTTAGTATAGTATTAATTTATTGTGGTGCCTAAATTATGTTTACATCTGGATATACTTTTGTCGTGTGTATTACCGTATAGAACGGTAGACATTTTATGATGGGGCACATTGTTTTCGATAATTTCAAGAGGGCACGTGTTAGTTAGGTATATGTGATATATGTATATTGTATATGATAATTTCCGTGGATTCCTTGGGTGTTATTGACCTCTTTGAACCTTTTGGTTTTAATATTTTATAGTGAGAAGAGTATCGTACGATTTAGTGATATTTTATATGAAACTAAAATCATGGGACGGAAAAAATATTGTTATAAGTGTGCTATGTTTTTTTTACGCTGCTAACAATTGATTTGTATTGTAGGTAGTTTGAGATGTGTATAATTTTATATTTTTAGCTTTCAGTATTTTGTTGATTTTAAATGCCGATGTACTAATCTATACTTAATGATTATTATTAAGATATTTCTCTAGTGCAGTATTATTCTTGTTAGTAATTAACTTAAATTTTAATACTAATTCAATATAAATAATAAAATAAAATAAAGTTAAATAATGTTTTTAGTATTTAGGTTTAACTTGTAAGTGCAGTAGTTTTGAGAGTTTATCATAAATTAAATATTTATCATAAAGTTTGGTTAATATTAAGCAAATTATTTATTTTTATTCAATTTTTTTTTTTTTTTTTTTAGGTGTTAATACCTATGTTTTCTTGTATTTTTCGTATACATATAAAGTGCTATAAAGTGACTTATGGCTTAAGTTAAAGAATTTAATGTAGACATGCAGTAACTAATAATATAGTAAAAATAGGTAAATATAATATTTCATTTGGTATTACATACATGTTATCGTAGAGGTGATATTTCTGTTATTGTTATTTGTTTAAAATATAACGTAATACATATTATACTTATATAAAATATTATTTAAAGTAATATTCCGTTATGAATCATAATTAAATGTAGTTGAATATGTTATGAAAGCTTATTGTAGTGTTTAAAGTGCTGGTGCTTAAATAATAAAATATATTAATTTCTAATTTGGTTAAAGTTTTTGGTAAAATAAAATAAGTATATTAGTGTAAGATGTAATATTATTTAATTAGATTATTTTGATTAAGTTTTATTCAAATGTCGATGTCTAATGTGTGTATCAAATTAAGAATTATCAAAAAGATTTAATGATTTCATTTTTGTTTCTTCTTTTAATGATATTTTTGAATGTAAGTATTTGTAGTTATTTATACTAAAGGTTTAATAAATATAATTCTAGTTGTATGTATTTAACTTATTTAATTAAGTATTATGTATGTAAATATTAGTGTCTAATGTGGTCATGAATGAATATATAATAATGTTAATTTTTGTTTTTTTTTGTTTTATATTTTTTATTTTGTTTTTTATTATTTATTTTCTTATAATGATATTTAAGTGTAAGTATGAACTAATAATTAATTAAGTTTGGGAAAGGTAGTAATTCTAGTTTGAATATTCATATAGTTGGCTTATTTAAATGTTGGTTTTTATGTAATGTCTTATGGTTTGGTATATTATTCCTACGATTATCTGTGTTTTAAATTTAAATTTGAATTGTATTTTGGTTGTTTTGAATAAGGTTTAGTTGGTTTTTGACGAAGTTCTAATATTTCTGTTTTTAAAATTGCTATTTTAGTAGAGTGTATAACTCTAGACGGTCTTAAGGTACGATTCCTATGACGCGTCAGACGCGTGCGGCTAACGAACTGCGTCTGACGCAGGGTACTACTTCCAAGGTTATCTAATGGTTGCGTTTCCTAAAATGCGTCAACAGCTTTGCGGCGGCCGCAAGTTGCTTCAGCCGCACAGACCGTCCGGTCGATGAGCAGTATAGACGCAGCCGCGTATAATTTTCTTATATTATACTACGTATATTTTTTTCGAGTATTTTCGTCATGTCAAAAGTACTTTTCACTGTCATTGAGGACGAAAAACTTGTGGAAATGGTAGCTAAATTCAATTGTTTGTACGATTTGGATTGTAAACTCTACAAAAATCAGACTATCAAGGATAATGCTTGGAAAGAGGTAGCTGAACAAGTAAAAAGATATGGTAAGAATATTGTAATTTATTATAATTATTTAGTATTACAAAATATATAATTATATCGTATATTAATTAGTTCTTGTAGTACGACTCTTGCCAGGCAATTGTTCCTGCATTACTGTTAAAATATTCCATAAATAAATATCGTAAAGCAAACCCATCGGCATTTGAAAATTCACCAGTTCTAGAATGTGGTAAAAAACTTTTTGTTGGAGGTTGCTCATTTGGGTCTATATAGTTTCATAGAACGGATTGCCATGTTTCTCTAGATAAGCGTCTCTTAGTAAATTGTGTAAGCAGCATGTCACAACAATCAAATTGTCGGTGGTCTCGGGCTTTAAGGCAATTGGTGTATAAAATATACGAAAAACTTGGCTTAGTACACACCAAAGCATTTTCCGAAACTCTTCGAGCTCTAAGAGAGTCGATAATTGAAAATCGCCTTTCGATTGTCCACACTTGCAACAGGACGAGAATAAGGTTACATCATATTAATTGTATGTAAGCGAAACGCCTCGTCACCTACAAAAACGTGTGGCAATACAATACTCGAGTTTGGTAGCTTACAGGGTGGACTGTGGAGGAAATAAATTCCCATTTCTGTACAGCTTTCCTAGATTACTTTTGTCGAATATACCACTATCACCCTCCTTAACATATGATCCGACATCCGTAAAAATAAATTTATAATTTGCATCAACAACAGCTAGTAAGACAATGGAAAAAAATTTTTGTAGTTGTAGTACAGTGACCCTGATCGTTTAGGACAAAACACGTCAACTGCCCCTACACAATTAGGAAAATGCCATTTTTGTCCAAATTCTTCAGCTTTTCCTTTCAGCTCATCACATTTGATCGACGGTAAAAATATAGGACTTAATTTTTCTTTTAAAACTCTAAGTGTAATTTTTACAATTTTGCTAATGTAACTAGCCGATATTCTGAATGCAAATTGCAGTGAGTCGTACGATTCGCCAGTTGACATAAACCTAAAAATACAAAATTATTTTACTTATTGTTATTATTGATAATAATTTCCGGTTTAATATAATTATTTATACAATGTTTGGTATGAACGAGCTTAAAATATCATTCTTGTGTAGTTGTGTAGTAACAATTTATTTAAACTTCAATATTGACTCAATAGTTGACCCAATCAAAATGGTATAAATAACATATTAGATTATTATATAAGTATTAGTATTATTTAATAGTATTATATATAATATTATTTATATTTGCCTATTATTATAAGGGCCAGTTGCACCGTCTCTGATTAAAGTTAATCACAGTTTTGGCCGGTTAAATATTTGTTATCAGCTGATTAAGCTTAATCGTATTTTAATCATTTAAAATAATGAACCGGTAAAAGGTGCTTACAAGCCGCCTCTGACACCTGGGATTATTGATCGAAATTTTTAATTAGAAAATTAAAACTTATTTCTAATAAAATATGACATAATATAGCAAAATATAAAAATTTGGTTTTTATTTTCATGGTTTTTTTCGTTGGTTTTTTTTCCGTCTACCTTTCAAACGATATGATGATTATTTATATAAATAATAATAATTAATAACAATTAAATAATATAGGTAGGTTTATCGTATGTCTATCTATATATAAAAAAACTTGTCCTGGCTGATTCATCACCGCCCACTTACTGCAACAAGTTACGCCAAAAAGAGTTTGTCATTAAATTTACGAATTAAGTTTGTTTCTGTATTTTTTGTTGTTTTATCAGCTTTTAGTACTTATTTTGTTACTTTTATTTGCAGTAGAGGATTGTAAAAAAGGAACATCAAGGACACATACCATAAAAGGGTTAAGAAAGGAATGGGAACTGGATCATCTGCTTTAAGTAAACCTAAGCATTGACCATTAGCTGATATGCTGACGTTTCTTGGAAAAACTGATTACAAGCGAGAGTGATTATTTATTTTTAAATGTTTTGTTTATGAATTTAATTTAACCATATACATTTAATTTATAGTAGCATATCAAATATTGAGTGTGGCGAGGAAGGTGGAGATGATGATTCGAGTACAGAAATAAACAACGACTTGCAGGTACCAGAGGAAATTAATAACCAATCGATTTGTGCAATCTGTGAAAATTCAAATGAAGACCCAACTCTACAAAATTCGAAGTTGCAAAAATCACAAAAAAGCAAAATATAATGAAAAAGTTATCCAGCTTCTAGAAGATAGGCGTATTGAGAGAAATGAGATTGTTACATGCGGCCCTTCAGGGATCCAAAAGCTTGTTGCACTTTTACAATAAAATGTAGTCAATTTAAATATAAATCAATTGTAATTTATTAAAACCAATAATAATTAATATAGTCGTGGTGAATTGCAGCGTCGTGAGTTGACTCGTTGTAGTAGTCGATAATCTCCATGTAAGTCGTGTGTAATGGCTGGTGGCTAAACGGCTCGCTCGGTCTTGGCGGCTCTGGTACATCTACTTTGGCTGTCTCGCTGTCCCCTATATATATGGTGGCGGCGTCCTTTGAAGTGAGCGGCGCGTGTACAGTCGTCCTTGATATGGACCTCACGACTATGAAAGTGGTATTCGTAGTCGAAAACACTTTTGGGTGTGGTCGCATTCCTGGTTGTTATTTTGAGCAAATATATGATATTGCGTAATCCCAATTCTGGTTGTTATTATGAGCAAATACATGATATTGCGTAATCCCATTACACCTCCCTACCAAAAAAAAATTGTTAACCTTTAAGGGTTAAGAATCTTTAACATCGTTAATTAATAGTTTACAATGGCTGAATTACATTGTTTACATTGACATTTAAATTTTGTATACAGTTAACAATTTGATTATAGTATTACATTTGATTACAATAATGTGAGCATTTTACAATTTTTAATGTCATCATTATTATTATTATTGTTTTTTTTCTTTTGTTCATATTACAATTTTAATTGTGGTTAGTAAAATAAATTAATACATGATTTAATTAAACAAATAGTGTTAATAAAAATGATTAATAGTCTTTAATAAAATAATATAGGTACCTGAAATTATAACATTATAAGCGTTACGTAAGTATACAATTTAAGTATTTCCCTTTTTATATAATAATAATATTTATCTTCCACCTATATACTAATCTATGTGAATAATTGTTAGATTTGTCATAGACATATGCAACTATAGATTTACTTAAGGTAATTCATTATGTAATTGGATATATAATGAATGTTAATTTATTTATTTGTTTTCATTGTTTAATATATTTTGTGTTAGATTTATTATTAATTATAATAACTTATTTATTTTTAAAATTTCATAATTATTTTTTTTTTGCTAAATTATATAGTTTAATGGGCTTTATCTTTGTTACTATGTAATTGAATAGGCATTTCGTTAAAATTACGTCTGCAACTGGATCGTGACAATGTGTAATATTATGATTAATATCGCATGCTAGTTCATGAGCTTCTGATAGTCCTATCATTCTACCATTTTTATTTAATTTACCTAAATAACCTGAATATAAAACTTCCTTAGTCTCTAGGTTTGATAATTCTAATATAAATTCGTCATTATTCCTAACGCTAATTGCCGATATATTTAAATATGCTAAAATTCCTGTTAATCTTAAACGCTTAATTATCGTGATATCTGACGTTCCGTTCCAAAATACTATTAGCGGCTCCCTATCGTTTATATGCAAATATCTTTGCAAGTATACCGTAGACAAGGTAGATCCCCCCTGGTGACTTATATTTTTGTATAATTGTTCCAGCAATGGTTTAATCACTCTTGCCTTTTTCCCTCGGAATACTCGTTTGATATTCTGCACTATTTTCTTTAGGTCGCATCGGCGAAATCTTCTTAACTTATCATCCTTTGTAAGTATAAGAGGACTCCCCTCCAACTTCTTGGGTTGGTACTTTTCTAAACTATTCGATATCGTGTCGGATACCAGTAATATTTCGTTTTTACTGACGGTAAAGAACTCGAAATCCATTATAAAAAAGCGTACCTGTGAGCTAAAATAAAATAATTATTTTTTTTTTTAAAAAACTTAAATTGGTTTTTTTAGTATTTATTGCTATGTATATGATATATGATATATGATACATGATATATGATATTTGATATATGATATATGTTTCCTGAGGTTATTCTTCGAAAATCGTTTCGACGATCACACGTCTCATGATTAGTTGTTTTATTAGTAAACCCAACTCTACACACATGGGTCGATTATGATTTGGTCTTACGATAACTGTGCGTACAAAGTCATTAACATGGATCATGACCCGTGCTAAGACATTCGGCCTGAAAGGTATGGTCATATTATTATTCGCCCTTCTTATGTGTTCCGGGAAGCAATGTAATCTGACTACTTCCCCTCGCTTTATCTGTGTATGATTGGTTGATTCAATTAATTCGTTTTTCAACTCTCTGAGAAATTCAAATGTTTGTAGTTGCATTCGAACGGTTCGTGCTACAGGTGGTACGTTCTTACCCATTTTATATTTTAAAATTTTACGTGTGTTTTTTTATATTTTTTTTATTAATTTTTTGTTTTTCTTCTTAATTTTCTGAAATAGTTAAAAGTTATTGTTATATAATTATAGAATATTATTTTACGTATATATATATTTTTTATGCACGTAATATTATTTTATTTTATTTCATAGAATATTGTTATACGTATTATTTCTTTTATGCACGTAATAATGTTTTATTTTATTATTTACTTTCATTTATTCTTTATTTATTTAAATTATATTATTATTATTCGTTTTCCTCTTGGTATTTCCTGAAGCACAACTATTATTATTCATTTTTTATTTATTTTTCATTATTTCATTTTTATTATATATCTATAATTTACATGATATATTAATTCCATTTATCTTATTATCTGCGTATTGCTTATTTTTATATTTATAACTTGGTATTTATTATTTTTATTAATATGTTACGTATTTATTTTCGTTTTGTATGTTATATTATTTTTTGTATAGTTTATTTATTATTAATTAAATTTAAAGTAAATAATTCGTTATGACTAGTGACTAGTGACTACTCTTAATAAATTTTTATTCTATTTATCTTGGCGACGGTGGTGGAGTAAAGGGTGTCTCTTCATAATTTCGTACGTATTCATTTCTATTAAGTGTCCTATATCTAACTATTCTGACGGTAATTCCATGACTTCTGTGATCCTGATATACTTGTATTTTATCATTATATAAATTGCTATTATTAGTATAATAGATATTGATGCTAGTACTATAACAAATTACTGTGTACAAATTATATTTATATTAAACTAAAATATCTTATTATATTCTTATAAAATTAAAATTATCTTACATAATCCGATATATCTCTAGTATCGTGCAAATATCTCATATAATCTATTAATCGTTTACATGTGGGTGTCACTGGATCTGATGACATAATTAGAGTTAGAATTCGCGTAATTTTCATTATTTCGAGAGTATTAAATGGTTCTTCCATACAATTATTCGCGGTATTAATATGTCCTATTAAACACCTCGGCGTGTGTTCCGGTCCTAAAGTATTTGTTTCATGGATTTCTTGTTCAATCGCCTTTCCTAGTTCCACAATGAATTTTCTTTGTCTGTTCCTAAAATTAAAATTAATTTTTATCGTATTTATTTTATTTATTATTATTTTTTATTATTTTCTTTTAAATTGGTTGTATCGTGATTTCATTTATTATTTCCTTCTCCGGTTACAAAAATGAATGTTCTGTTTCTATCCCTAAAATTAATATAATTATTCTAACTTAATATTGCTATATACTTATTATTTTTTATTTTTGCTATTTTTTTTTTAAATTAATTGACTTGTGCGTCATTATAATATATTTCTTTTTTTTTTTTTTACGTTATTTCTATGTACAGTAATGACCTTGCGGCCTCGCTGTATAGCTACATTCTCGTTCCCTATAACTGCTGTGACCTCGTACGGTCCTAGCCAG